CGAAAGCTTATGCTCTAATAAATTTGTTAGTCTCTAAGGTGCCACAAGTCCTCCTGTTCTTCTTTTTGCGGATACAGACTAACACGGCTGCTACTCTGAAACTAGGAATATCAGAGACACAATGCTTCCAGGACCTCCCACTGGGATATTACAACTCAATATCACCTCCTACCATGGACTTAGTTGCACCAGAACAGTTGAGCCATATCTACCAGAGATACTGAATTACTAAATGCATTTTGAGCCTATATTTTGACAAGTGCTATTTGCTTTTAATTATTCATAATAATACATCATAATGTGCTGTTAAATGCACTGGAGCATATTTTGTAAAAAATAAGGAGCTCTTAGTAATCGAATGCGTTCAGTCGTGAAGTCACTGTGCTATTAAATCTTTGCTGACAAGTGCAGAGAGGACACTGCTGTTGTTTAGTTTTTCTTTGTGTGTGTGAGTGTGTGAATTATTGGATTAGCAGATTAACAAAGGGAGAATTAACAAGGTTCTAATCTACTTTGTCTATTGTTCTCCTGCTCCCACACTTCTGGAAGCCAGTCTCGGCTTCAAGACAAAGCTTGTTAAAACCTACAGATGGGCCCCCAACCAAAATCCGAGATCTTAACAGCTCCAAGCTTTGGGAGGAATCAGCTGATTCAACAATGGGAAGACTGTTGTTAGTAAATTGCTCATCAAGGTTTTCAAGCACATTGGTTACAGTTGGGAAAACAAAGCGTGGTTTGAAGTAACTTGAAAACAAACAATGAGAAAAATTCAAAGCCAAGTTTACTACCCTTCCCTCCCCTCCAAGACAACTTACTTGGAGCTATTCTTTTTATCTGTCAAACGGAGCTGCTTAAAAATGGGGAAAATATTGCAAACACTTCACTGAATATTTTTCCCATAGGTTTTTTTTCATTGATATTCAAAATTGCAATGAAAATTTCCATTGAAAATTTGGAACAGTTGTACTATCAAATAACCGCTCATACAGCTTCTGGTATTCCTCTGAGAGCCTTATCGAGCCATCACTCCCAACCCTGCTTCAATATTTCACTTTGTGTGAGGTCTAAATAAAGATTTAACTCCCTGATTGCTGGAAGTCAGGGAGCAGACGGCCATAGGGGGTTTGAAATTCAGGGGTGATCTGCTAGCCTCATAGAAATCAATAGGAGTTTTGTCATTGACGTCGGTGGGGTCAGGATTTCACCGAAGTTCCAAATTTTGCAAATTAGACCTGTCTCTGGGGAAGATCAAATCTGACCTTCCACTGTTCTGGTCACTGACCGTGGTCCTGAAATACTGATCAGTGGCCCTGGAACTGACAGTGAATGGTACAGGGCAGAACTACCTAAGATGAGTTTGTATCTAAGTTCAATCCTTCCTTACAGGATTGTATTTGTTTTTATGTCTGTAGCAACACTTTCTTTAATGGAGGAGTGATTGATCACATATTCCTTAGACTGTGAGTTCTTTCTTCAGGGCAGGGGGCTGCCTCTTTGTTGTATATTTATACAGTGCCTAGCACAATGGGATCTGACCTGTAGGCACTACTTCAGTACAAATAAATAACAACAAAGAGGTAGGTCTGAATTCAAACTCCAAATGCAAGCACCCCCCATATTTTGGGAATGTTTGGCTCCTTTTCTGGACCTGCACATAGTGGCTCCGGCCTAGATAACTCCCTCCTGCAATCTGTGTAGTAACATCTCAGTGAATATAGAATAAAACTGGTTTCCAAGATGTGTTTCAATATAGAACAATCATTAAGATGCTTTTTGCTAAATATTTTGTCTAAATGGCATCTAATGGAAAGAGTTTATAGTGCTTATGGTCTATAAAATGCTTCAGGGAAAGCCACTGATTATATTTTTCTTCGTATAAAAATGAGTTTGTTTTAAGTTAATGTGCAGTAGGTTTAATTAACCCCATAGGTGCAGGGCTGGGGTGCAGTTTGAACCTTCAGAGGCAGCTGTACCCGAAGCAGTTGAAGAGGAGGGGCAGTTTCAATTCTGGAGAGGAATACATAGTGCTGCTTACAGAGGCTGCCTGGAAGATGTTCTGATTCACCGCATCCCTGCCTGCTTCACCCCATCCTGGCTTGCTCCACCCACTTTGTGGGCTGTGCCGGACCACCTGGGGAAGCAGGGTTGTAGCCCGCTGTGACCCTGCTCTGGGTGGACTTTCCATTGCTGGAGGCTACAAGCCTAAGTTTCTCCATCCTTTGCCAGCAGAATCTTGGCAGTAACGCTATACCGGTCTCTTCTCCTGCATTCTGGAGTTCAAGGGTATCTTTGCAAATCTCCCACAACACGCATACATGCCCACATCCCAACCCCTGCTTGGAATAGTATAGCAATATAATCAGTAATATATTCACAGTCGTGAATCAGGCTGTATTAAGCAGCAGTAATTCCTACCTTCAGGGTACTGTGCTGTTTTGAAATTGGAAGGGAAACCAGTTAATAGGCACTTTTGGAAAGATTAGCAATAAATAGCTTCAGACCTTTATGCATGGAAATAACTGTGCCTCATTTGAAAGGTCCTCAGCTGAAATGCTTGATGTGAGTTTGGGGAATACTGGGTTGTTGTTCTCAGCCCTGAAGGAGCCATTCCGTCTCCTACATGGATGCTTTGGACTCAAGCGCAGACGCCTTCTCCCCAGAAGGCAGTGATGTGTATACGCCTGTTTAATGAGAAAAGCTGCCCATTCTGAGGGACGGAAGTAAAAGCTCGTATCCCTCCGCACAGCATGCAGGAAGGATGGCCTGGTGCTTTTCGCACTGGACTGGCAATCAGAGGCTCTGGGTTCAGTGCCTAGCTCTGCCACGGATTCCCTGGGTGAACGTAGGCAAGATAAGCTGGTAGAAAGGGGCCCTAGAACTGGTGTAAACTTTGCAGCACCTCTGTGGAACCCCTCCCTCCTACCACAGAGGTGGTCTGGGACGAGCTGGGGTGGTCCAGAGAATGAAGGGAGAGAGCGGGATGGGAGGAGGCATGGCTGGGGTGATCCTGTGCCTGGGAGATGTGTGCCTGGCCAATGGCAGTAGGGCAGCCCCATAGTAGAAGAGATACAAGCTGCCTCCTGGTAAATGGCACCAAGGAAGGGTTAAATCTCAGCTTCCCCCACTGTGAAATGGGGATAGCAATACATGGGGTGCCTGAGGATACATCCACAGATCTTTGGCGGGGCTGAGATACTCGGGTGATGGGGATGCTGAGGCAGATGGCTAGAACACCTCTGAAGTTGCCTTGGCAAGATGCCGTTTCCCCCCTGTAGGCGGTGTGTCTGTGGCAGTACGTTGTTGATTGTAGCTGGCTGCTGCTGGGGGCAGGCATTGTGCTAAGGGCAGATACGTAGGCACAAGAAAGAAAGAATTTGTGACACTGCTGTGAGTGAATCGTAGAAATGCCGGGCTGGAAGGGAACCTCGAGGGGCCATGGGGTCCAGCACACACACTGAGACAGGATTACATATACCTAGATCATCCCTGACAGATATTTGTCTAACCTGTTCTTAATCACTCCAGGGGTGGGGATTCTGCCACCAGCTAGGTAACCTAACCCAGAGCTTATAGTTAGAAAGTTTTTCCTAATATCTAACCTAAGTCTCCCTGGCTGTAAAGCTGATTACTTCTTGTCCTACCCTGGATGGACCTGGAGAACAATTGATCACTGTCCTTTTTTACATATTTGAAGACTTATCATGTCCCCACTGAGCCTTCTGTTCTCTAGACTAAACAGACCCAATTCTTTCAACCAGTTTTTCAATTCTGCAAACCAGTTTCCATTGTGTACAGATATAGCAAGCAGAGGAACTTTGCACTGCCTCTGTAAGTACTCAGCAATGTGGCTCCATCGTGCTAGCGAACATAAAAGATCCTGTAAACTTCTCTATGGGGCTCCCATACCTCTCTGTACATATGTATTTCTATAGAAATGGCCACAGTGATGAATAGGCCAGTGAAGTACCCTACAGGATAGAATCCTGGGAGCTGGCATAAGAATAACCAGGGAAGGGGGAGATTATGCAGAAGAGAGAATTGCATTCAGCTGTTGTTTCAGTTTTCAATATGGGGCCAGCCAAAAGGCACTGGAGTGAACAGGCTTTGACTCTCTCTTTCCTCAGATTACACTCACCACCATCGGTTATGGGGACAAGTATCCACAGACCTGGAATGGGCGTCTCCTGGCTGCAACTTTCACCCTCATCGGGGTCTCCTTTTTTGCCCTCCCTGCTGTAAGTAAGCACCCAAACGTTACCGTGAAAGCAGAACACAATCTTTTCTCTAGACAGTCCCACTTACAGTCACTGAGGCTGCCATCTCGCTTGTACGGCTCTCTCCAATTTTTTTGATGATGTTGTTAACTTGGCAGTCATTTAATTACTTATTGCAGCAAAAGGATTTCAGCTCAATGGCCAAAACCTAGTACTGCCAGCACCCAGTGTTCAAAATTCATGAGTCATGCCCCAGAAGGTCCTGAGGCTGCCTTATGGAGTCATGAGATTGGTGGGGGGGTGGGGAAGGACACATTTTGGGATTTATTTGGATTTGCTTTCTGTTTTTTTAACTTTTAGGGTTTACATTTTTGAGCTTTTCTCTGCAATCATGAGGGTGACACACTTATTTTTGTTTTAAATAAAATCACATAATCACATGAATCCAGGAGCTGGGGTTTTAAGGAAAAACATCAACTATCGTGAGACTTGTGATAAAATCATGAGAGTTGGCAACACTGACTAAGAGGGGCAGGACCCTGAGATGCCCAGGGACTGCAGTGAGCATTGTGTCTGCCTGGTGCCTCTCAGGATTTAGTCTTTTTAACTAAAAGATTAGAACATCTCCATCTTTTGCATAGATAAGATACATAGGGCCAGATTCTGAGCTGGTGTAAATCAGTGTAGCCACATTGGTTTACAGCAGCAAAGGATCTGTTCCAAGGCTTATGCATGAAAGGAGTTTTTTTAATTAATCCTTATTTATGAGAGAGAAACACAAAGGGTTTGACTGAGCAACCCTTTCCCATTGGTGAGCACTTTCCCATTAGTTACACTGAAGCCCTTCAGATTAGCTTTCAAGTGCCCAGCACCCATAACTGGAGCCAGACTTTCCAAAAACTCTCAGCTCCCACAAACTGAACGTTTTTTTAAAAAATGTGCCAAACTCTCCTGAAAACCTGGTCCCAGTTGTGGGGGCTGCACATTTTTGAAAGTTTGGTCCTGTGTTTTGGTTTTTTATTTCCTGCCACGAACATGGTATTTCAAGGAACATGAAAACAACCACATAATACTGAAGACTATTTGGGCTTACATCTCTGTGGACTGGAACTGATCAGAAAAAAACAGCCAAGTAACAATAGTGTAATATGTTCCATGCAACTCTGCATTCTGGCTACACATACTCCTTTGAATCAACATAGAAGACAACACGAGAGAGCTACAGTTGTATATTCATACTGCATGCATCACTGGCTTCCTTAGATATGAATAAATAAGGGGCATGATGGGAATTATAGGACAGGATAAAAATTCTGGCTTGTGTGCTGCAAAATAAACACCATTAAATTAGGCTTGAATAAAGACTGGGAGTGGATGGGTCATTACACAAAGTAAAAACTATTTCCCCATGCTAATTTTCCCCTACTATTACTCACATCTTCTTGTCAGCTGTTGGAAATAGGTCATCCTGATTATCACTACAAAAGTTTTTTTTCTCCTACTGATAATAGCCCACCTTAATTGATTAATCTCGTTATAGTTGGTATGGCAACACCCATTTTTTCGCTGTTCTCTGTGTATATATATCTTCCTACTGTATTTTCCACTGCATGCATCCGATGAAGTGGGTTTTAGCCCACGAAAGCTTATGCCCAAATAAATTTGTTAGTCTCTAAGGTGCCACACATACTCCTCGTTCTTTTTACAAATATTTGGGCAACTGAAACCATTGGCCTTGTTTTTGTCCCCAAATAGTCACAATCCAGTGATAGTGCCATTTCTCGCTCCTGGGCCACTGGGGAGATTTTATTAAGCTATCACAATCATTTTTGCAAAAGTTTGGGAGTTCATTGCAGAACATTGCTTTTTTTCTTGCTGGAACTGCAGCACTGGGTGAACAGCTTACACTTTATTGCAACACCTGAGAGAAGTAAAACATTTACCCCCAGACTCCATAGCGCTCAGTCATAGCATTTGACAGTGGGTGGAAATGATTAGCTTAGGGAGAGGGGAAGTACAGGATGATTGCAATGGGACAGAAAATGAGAAGAGAACAAATCAGAGGAGAGAGCGAACTGTCAGGGTAGGGCTATCACAAACACAACCCTTTAGAGCAAGGCTAACACATAGATTACTCCAAATGGTCTCGTTCTTTCTTTCTTCCAGGGCATTTTAGGTTCTGGCTTTGCCCTGAAGGTTCAAGAACAGCATCGGCAAAAGCACTTTGAGAAGCGGCGAAACCCTGCAGCGGGCCTGATTCAGGTTAGCAAGCAGTGCCCCGATCCTGACGACAGAGATGCGCTGCGTGAACTCCCCTGATGCCAGCAGCTGCTCTGTCTCAGCAGAGATGACTGTCCAGGGTGGATGGGTTTTTTGTCTGTTACAATACCTGGCTAGGAATGAACTGACAAAGGAGCCTGTCTATCTGGACTGTTTTAGCAGAATTGCTTCTGATTAATTGTCTTTACTTAAAGGAGATCTTTTCACACTCGTAGAATTGAGCGGATTCCTGGGCTGCCGGACAAGGCATAGTGCAGGCAGGTGCTGTGCATGTTCTCTCCACCTAGCTCTGTCACTGCATCTCCACCTGCCCTCCTGGAGCCTGGAAATCACACCCTGGGGGAAGTGAATATGTGTCTGCTATGGGCTAAACTGAGACTGGCACGTTCATTCCACTCCTGGCCTCACCCACAGTTGACTCGACCGGCCAGGTCCTCGGTCCCTGCTCTGGCTGCTTTCCACAGCCTCAGACAGAAACCTCCCCTAGTGGGACAGCCGAAGATTCCTGCTGGCAAAGAGGCTCCACATCACCTATATGTAGGGGGTGGGGAGGGGCCGTGCCATGGCTGGGGTGAAGTGACCAGAGCTCTGCCTCGTCTTCAGCTGGTGCAGTGGTCCCTATGGGGCCATTTTGGCCCCCCAGCCAGTCCAGAATTGGGAATAGCAGTGTAGACGTTGTGGCTTGGGCTGGAGCCTGGGCTCTGAAATCCAGCAACCCTGAGCTCAAACATCTACACTGCTATTGTTAGCCCTGTTGTGCAAACCTTGTGAGCTCAAATCAGTTGACCTGGGCTCTGCCTCGCTGGTGCCGGGGGAGGGGGAGATTTGCAGTGTAGACGTACCCTTTATTCTTGCGCTGAAGAATACCGCTAAGGCATGAAACAGTGCAAGTGACACGTTTTAAGAACATTCCAGGTGGGAAATGAACCCAAGGGACCAACATCTGGGACTCAAGCAAGGAACCTTTATATTAAACTGTCTCAGACGAATCATTTCCGATTCATTATTCTTTGAGACTCTCTGGAGGAGGAGGGAAGGTGGCATTTTGAGGCAGCTCAAAAGTTGCTAGACAGCAGCCCTGAAAATAAATGCAAGGAAATCATCCACAGGATGACAGCAGATGCTGTCAGCCAGTCTGGGGGGAGAAAAGACAAAATTCAAGCTGATTTAGTTACTACACGATGCAGACAATTCATTAATTCAGCCTGTTTTCCCCAAATGGGTTTTATGCAAAGAGAAAATGTCTCTGAATGTGATGCTGCAGTTGGAAGCATTTTTTGATGGAAACAGATGTCTGTGCATAAGGCACTATTGTAATCTAAGTAACAGTCTGCTATTGTAGCAGTAAAGCCATGGACTGGAGGGTCTTCCAGGCTACAGAGACCCTGTTCTTTATAAATAAAACCCAGCAGAGCAGGAACCGATTGAGAGCTGCGGATTCAAGGCAGAGGGTCTGATTCAGATCTCAGTCAGACTCTCATAAATCAGGCGTAGCAGCACTGTTGGAGTCGATGGAGATGCACCAATTTAAGATCAGAATCAGACTCAAAGAGTGGATCTGTGACAGACTGACTCGGTGGGTTTAGGAAGGAGAAAGGCTCTTCAGCTACTAGACTGAGCTACTTGTGAGCCATATAATCCTTTGACTTGAAAACTGATGTGTGTCCCAGCTGAATGGATATTGACTATCAGGATGGTGTTCTCTGAGAGTCTGGAAGGGGCAGATTTCCAGAGATGCTCCCCTTGACTCAGAACCGGTGCTTACAACCCCAGCGAAGACTTGTTGGTTTGTTTTATTTTGCTTTTAACGCAACCAGCCACAAAGCGAGGGCAGCATTTTCAGAGGCGGGTGCCATGAGCCAGGGATACAGCTACAATTTTAAACTGTTTACTGAGCATCAGTACTAATCATTACTGTATATTTTCATAGGCTCATTGTCTGGTCATGTCTTTTAAAAATACTGGTCTGAATCAACAGAAGAACCCTTCCATTAGCAGCTGGTTAGCACTCTGGTCCTCTGATGAATCTGCTGATCATATTTCTCTTGCTGTGGATTGGAGGGTTGGGGTGGGAAGGACAGTTACAGCTGTTTTTCACTCACATGTACATCTCCCTTCTCCTCCACAGGCTGCTTGGAGGTTCTATGCCACCAACCTCTCTCGAACGGACCTGCACTCTACCTGGCAGTACTATGAACGGACAGTCACCGTTCCCATGTACAGGTACCTGCTTTAAACCCCTTCTTACAGGTTCCTGTTTCATGATGCCAATGACTCCATCCAGCCCATTCGTTTTTTATATTAATTAAATACATTTTTTAAATTTGATTTGAAAAGCTTGCAAGAGCTGGTGTAATTTTAAGTTTCTTTTTGGCTTTTTTTTGGTATTTATTTTTTGCTTTATTTTAATGTCCATGATATTAATTTTCTTTTTTGTGTGTGCTGTTGTTTTCACCTTTATTTTTCTGTATCCATTGGTAGTTGCATTGTGTTGTGACAGTTGCTACGGCAGTGTGAAGACTTCCTCCAGAGCAGCCTTGGAAAGTAGGTAAATGCATCCTTTGCCTTGCCATGCAGATCTTAGTTCTGAGTTGCGTTGTCATGTCGTTGTAACCGGATTCTGATGGTTCTTCTGCCTTTCAGCAAACTTCTGCTCCCATCCCTTGCCTGGTCCTGACATTCTGCCCCAGGGCAGCACTTTGTTTACTGCTTCCTTGAGTCGTGATTGGCATTCACAGGATCTGGCACCCTCCTCTGATTCCACCTAGGCTGGTGGGGTAAAGAGAGGACGTTGATTTTTATTGTAATGGTTCTCAGAAATTAAAGAGAGCACACGTCTCTCGGTCCGGGGGGGGGGGGGGTTGAATGAGGCAAAGCCTCCCCTTCTGTGTCTCTTCAAATATTGAGACCGGGTAATTGCTTGCAATAAGAGGGAAATCCTAAATGGCCCAAGGTAGATGTTGATGAAAAGAATAGTCACTGTAGCCTTCCCTGCAAGTGGACACGTTCTGACAGTCATGGCATCAGGGACACACGGCTCCCAGCCTGAAATCCAGGCTTGCCTTTGTGACATCGGATAACAGCGTCTCTCAGACGGATCAGTAGGCAGGACTGCCCCAGCCCCAGTGAGTTCTCCTGCATCTTCAAGAGGAGAGCAGCAGAAAAGTTTGTTTCCAGACAACTGGTTTGGATGCCCAGGCATCTTCCATAGCTTTTACGCCAGGGGGGATACAGCTTATTTAAGACCTGAGGCTTGACCCATCCTATCAGAGGCCTGCGGATAAGTTTGACCTCCCAGCTTTGCCGGTATCAGACCTATAGGAGAAACTGCTTGTGTATGTCACAGCTCTGCCTGCAGCCTGAACTGCCCCTGGGGAGGGGGGCAATCTAGGGCTGCCAAGAGCCCAGCATCTTGTGTGACTCACACATACACCTGGCAGTGCCATTGTGCTGTCACACAGCCCATCTGGGTCCCCATACACATCAGGCAGGGCTGCAGATGCTTCTCCTGGCAGTTGGGAGGGGCTGTGGTGCCTGATATCCAGGCAGCCTCTCTGCTGCCCCTGCTGAATCCAGGAGGAGGAGGTGGCAATCGGCAGGGACTGAAGGGGAGGGGCTCAAGGAGGGTCACCATGCTCTCCCAGCCAGCCCCCACCTACCGCCCTCACTCTCCAGGCAACTCCCAGCCTCCATCTGTCCCAGTCAGCCCCCCAGCTGCTTCCCATACAGCTCTCAGCCCTCACCTCTAATCCAGGCCCGAACCCCACACAACGCCCAGCCCACTTCACCCACCAGCCAGTCCCCACACAGCCCTCTCCCCTACCCTCCCACTCGCCCTCCAAACAGCCTCCATCCTTCTCCTCACAATCCCCAGACGCTGTCACTTCCCATACAGCTCTCAGCACCTACCCACCAGCCATCCTCTATGCAGCCCCCGGCTGATACACTGATCCTCAATCCCCAGAAAGCCAGCAGCACCCCCGCCCCACGGCCAGGCAGCACATGGGCCAGATCCCTCTCCCCTGCAACTCATATCCCAGAGGGGGAAAATTCAGATTTCCAGGTGCACTGCCCCTCCCTCCCACCACGAGCAGCTCCACACAACTGGGAAAGACTGAAGAGCTGCAAGAAATAAATCTGATTTGCTTGGCTACAGGGCAGCCACCACATTTGAACGGCATCCGTGTCGGTTTGGCATGGTTTAAATGGAATGACCTCTTGCTAATACTAAGGCAGCACTTGAAGCTTAAATGACCCCAGTTAGAGTGGGGATAGCTGGAGAGTGGCATTCCCTTCAGGGTGGGACTTGCAGATGCACTGAAATTCCCTAGGAAAATCCTAGGAAATCCCCAGGATGAGGCATGATGCCCTGAAGAGAAGCTCACAAAAATAAGAATCCTTTTCAGCAGTCCCTCTCTGTCCTCTGCATGTGGCGAAACAGACTGTGCTCCCCTGCCCCCACAGGCAGGCTCCACAATATGGCAATGCCAAGATGTGGGGGCGGTTACGGATTTCCCTTGATGCCAAAAATAGAAATGAGTGTCATTTTACACATCCAAGGCTTAACGTGCAGTGCATCGCCAGGCAGCATTGTGCAGCCCTGTCATTTTCATGTGCTTACCTGGAGCTACACAGGACGCTCTGTGATTCTGAATGAATCAACCGGGTTAGTTCCACAGTAGGAATTGATTGATGGTGCCAGCCGTTGTCTTGTCATTCTCATTGTCGGGCATTGAGACAGCCCACGGATTTCTTATTTACCCCACTAGAGAATAGCATGGTACAGTATTGGAACGGTAGGTCTCTTACCCCAGGGAGGTCTCTTACCCCAGTAGAACTGCCTATTAGAATCATATAATGGAATCATAGAATACCAGGGTTGAAAGGGACCTCAGGAGGTCATCTAGTCCAATCCCCTGCTCAGGACCAACCCCAGCTAAAAGCAGGACCAACCCCAACTAAATCATCCCAGTCAGGTCTTTGTCAAGCCTGACCTTAAAAACCTCTAAAGAAGGAGATTCCACCACCTCCCTAGGTAACCCATTCCAGTGCTTCACCACCCTCCTAGTGAAAAAGTGTTTCCTAATATCCAACCTAAACCTCCCCCTCTGCAACTTGAGACCATTACTCCGTGTTCGGTCGTCTGGTACCACTGAGAACAGTCTAGATCCATCCTCTTTGGAACCCCCTTTCAGGTAGTTGAAAGCAGCTATCAAATCCCCCCTCATTCTTCTCTTCTGCAGAGTAAACAATCCCAGTTCCCTCAGCCTCTCCTCATAACTCATGTGCTCCAGCCCCCTAATCATTTTTGTTGCCCTCTGCTGGACTCTTTCCAATTTTTCCACATCCTTCTTGTAGTGTGGGGCCCAAAACTGGACACAGTACTCCAGATGAGGCCTCACCAATGTCAAATAGAGGGGAATGATCATGTCCCTCGATCTGCTGGCAATGCCCCTACTTATACAGCCCAAAATGCCGTTAGCCTTCTTGGCAACAAGGGCACACTGTTGACTAATATCCAACTTCTCGTCTAGGTCCTTTTCTGCAGAAAAATCTGTTTCTGTTCTCCCTGATTATTGGTACGTGTTGGAATCCTAGCAGCCAATCCGAATATGTTTCCTAGGGTGGGTGGGCCTATCAGAAACCCTGCAGCCAGTCTGTTAATACATTTTCAAACTCCACTGGAACTCACATTACTATTATGGTCAGCAAGTTTTGAACCGGATTCATTCCCAATGTTTATTTCTTTCAGCTGAAGACATTTATGAACCACCTTCAGTGTTTTATTTAAAAAACCTGTTTCCCAATAGCATGGCACTCATTCATTGAGTTTCCCCCTCCCTTCTCCTTGCCTTTAATTGAGGTTAAATAATTCCTACCGAAGTCAGCTCTCAGCGAGAGTGAGAGCGTTGGATCTGATCCAAGGTCCGTTGTGGTCCGTGGCAGCACAGCCATTGATTTCGGTGGGCTGTGGTGGATCAGGCCTGGAGGCTGTTTGAAAGAATAAGCCTATGGACAGAGCTGGACATACAGTGAAACCCTTTTCAATGACTATTTGCTGAAGCAATTAACCTGTTAAAATTGTTGCATCACATGGACCAAAAGCTGAAATCCAGGTGGAACGCTAATCTGGTCAGTTAAATGAAGACCTTTTGGATGCATGGAATTGAAATTTAGCCTATGAAAGAGTAGAGCCATCTTAAATAAAACCCCCTCAAGGATGAGAGTTACTCATGGCGGGTGGGGGTGGGGGGTTGATGCAAGTCAATTAAGCACCATTTGAGGGACAACTGCATGAGCTGTGGTCCCTGGAGGAGGTGTCACCACTAGTCCTGCACAGGCTGGCCCATAGGGTGGAGCTGGAGGTGACTAAGGGTTGGGGACATTTGAATACGTGGGTTCACTGGCCATCACACCCCTCACAAATGACGGCCATTATTGTATCCGTAGGGCTGAAGTCCAATGCATTTTCCCTGGGTTGGGGAGGGTAGATTTTGTCTCCAATTCACTTTCCTTTCCCACCGAATTTCACCTGCATAAACCCTGATTATTGTGCTATGTGCAGGTACAGTGAATGTCACCCAAAAGGTCAAAAGAAAACCATGTCCCACCAATATGTTACATATGGCCTAAGCCACATAGTTTGGAGCCAGATCTGAATGTGGAACAAGATCTGATGAACTTCCCCAAATGGCAGGTCTGCATGTCTAGGGATTTGGTTTGCACCTTGTTAATGCTTAACAGGTTTCTATTGTACTACAGTTTCTAAATGTAGCAATACTGTCATTACTATGAAGTCTCATATAACACCATATCCAGGGAGTATGTATGATCGGGAGGTTATAGATATGGAACTGGGAGCCAGGACAGCAGAGTTCTGTTCTCAGCGCTATCACTGGCTTGTGGTATGATCTTGGAAAAGTCACTTACTGTAACCTCTTCATAACAAAATCTCCCTGACTGTAAATGGGGATAATAAACCTGGCCTCAGATGGGTGTCAGCAGTATTAATAAACGTTTGTAAACCATTGAAGATCCTCTTATTACAGTGACTAAATTGACACAGGCAAAGGTGTGCCATTTAACCAGAATTACCATGATATAAATGAACCACCGAAGTGCTGCTGCATAATGTGCCCGACACGCTGGAGGAAACACAGTGCCAGCAATGCTTCATTTGTGCCAGGGTTGAGCCCCAGCATCTCTAGGCTGGGCAGTTCATAGCCCCCCGGCACCTCTGGGCTGGGCAGTTCATAGCCCCGGCACCTCTGGGCTGGGCAGTTCATAGCCCCCCGGCACCTCTGGGCTGGGCAGTTCATAGCCCCGGCTCCTCTGGGCTGAGCAGTTCAGAGCCCCGGCACCTCTGGGCTGGGCAGTTCAGAGCCCCGGCACCTCGTTCATTACCAATTGAGCACTGAGTGCCGGTGTCACTCATCCGATGTGGTACATCCTCTTGGCTGCCTCACAGAAACATCAGTAGCCTTCCACAGGGAATGATTTAAGGGATGGGGTTCGCTCTGTAATGTATCACCTCCCATGTCAATATCCCTTGGAATCCATCAGGCTAAGCTCAATACAGAAGGTCCCCCCCCTTAAAAAAAGGGGAGGGTTAACTTTATATTCTGGCTGTAGCTTTCATCACACACAGAGGCACAGTGTCCATTCTGCCCTCTTCTACCCACTTCCCTAAGGAATTCATATGATGTTTCAAACTGGCGAATGAAATAAGCAATATAAGTCCCTGATGGCATGTCCCATGGCCTGAAATGACACAGGATAGCCCTGCCGTGGGTTACCTCTGCTGTAATCTAGCAGATGAATAAGTCTGTTTTGAAAGTGGTTATGGGGAAGTGGGTATTTCCTTCACGTGATAAGTAAGTTGTGGTGACTGGTACCTTGGCACAAAGCAGGTAGGTTGGCATTGACTCATCTTTTGCTCACATTGTATTGCTTATTCCTCATGAAGTAGCTGTCAGCAGGATCCCTGTGACACGGGCTTACATGTCTTCTCGATGTTGCTCCCACAAAGAATGGATTGTTTCATACTGGAAAATTATTACGTACGCCTTGGGGGAACATCAGATTTCTCCGGAACCTCACTGCATTGACCTACTGCAGTAGAGTTAGGCCCACTTCTTTTGGGAGGATATTTTATTCTCTTAGAAAATCTAAAATTGAACCCTTACACTCAAAGTATGTCAGTACCAAAGTTCAAATAAATAAAATATTTGAAACATATGGATACATGCTGATATTGAATCTGCATCGAAAACCAGATTGTAATGGGCATTTATGCATGTACATACTTATACACCCAGACGTCAGAAACTTTTGTGTAAATTTGTAACCAGATTTGTTTAAAAGGACTGTGTCCATCACCACCAGTTATAATGATACCCAGATCTCGACTACATTATTATCCCTGATGGAGATGCTCTCCCTGTGTATAAATCAATGGCCGCTAGAGATATGTTTATGGTATGGAATTAGTGTAGGTCCTCTGAACCTCATTCTTGGACACATTGAACCCAGGAGCTATGCTTCTGGAGAGGTCCCTCGTTAGTCAGCATTTCAGAGTGAGGAGATCATGTGATTCCAGGAAGAGGCCCCAGCTTTTTGCTGACAGAACCTCCGAGTGTAACGATTCCCCCAGGGTATGTCTGCAAAAGGTTGGAGGTTTCTACATTTTTGCCTCAATCTCTTTTGCCCACCTTTGCTTTCTGAGCAAACCCTAGACTAGCCGTTATTGAAGGCGATGCAGATATGCAGCAATTTGTAGTCCTACTGAGGTTGGGAATGCCGGAGCCAATTCAGGTTTGCCAGCCACCTGTAAGCCTGGTTCACAGTACACCTGCTCATTGAAATACCGGTAGCTCACATGCTAATTTTCTTTCTTCTGTTTCTTTTCTCCCTCCCTCCCCCCCTTTTGCTGTTTTTCTTTCTCTGACCCCTTTTGTTTTCTTTGGTGAAAACACATGAAAAGCTCGCAAACGCAAACGTATGGTGCCTCCAGGTATGACGCGCATGTGAATCTGAAACCGTGTGTTATGTCACTCCTTCCTCGTCTGGGACCATAACATGCTAAGCCTGTAATACAACCAAAACCCCGTGTTGTTGTTTTTTTTAAAAAAAGCTCCAAAATCAACCTCCCCACTCAATTCCATGCATCTTCATCTACAGTCTAGCTGGTGGTTTGCACAAGCATTGGGGAACTGTACATCTAAGTGGCAATGTCAGGAAGGAGAACAGGGGGTTTCTCAATGAGCTTGGTTTTCTTAGCTCAAGTTATGAGCATCTTCAGATTCATAGGACAGTTAACAAGAAAACTCCCTGTTCTTTTCTGCCCTTTTCCCATCCTTTTTTTCTTACGTCCATCTCTCAACTTTTCCTCTCCTTCACCCCTTTTTTCTCCTCTCCAACCCTCTCTTATCCCAATCCACTCTTTGTTGTAGCAGCTGTGGCCACTAGCTACCAATGAAGATATGTTAAATCGAAATGACCGTTTTTACCTCACCTGACAGCCCATGCTGGCTTTTGAAGGGGCAGTTTAACCTCAACAAGGTTTATGAGCGTTGTTAGCAATTCAGTAGGTGGCGCTTTTCCCTCTGAGTCAGAGCTAGAGCTGAGCGAACTGTTTGCAATAAATAATTCATTCAGTGAGTCTAACCTTTTGGGGTCGTTCAGGTTGAAAGGATCTATATATGATACAGGTAAAAGATTTATTATGAATAGATATTTTCTCAGTGGCTAGTAAAAGTGGATTTTCAAATCACAGGGATATGTTATACATGAAGGAAATCCCGAATGAAAGTAAATATTTATTTTAAGAAGGAGAACAGTGATCACGTATTTGCTGCTTTGCATTTCAAAATTGCAGGCCTGATTCTGTTCTCTGTTACGACAGTGTAAATCCACATCAACTCCATTGATGTCAATCTGATTGAAGGCCTGTTTTTCCAAACCCAGCCTCAGTTTTTGCAGTTGCACGTTTTACAGCCACAGTGAACTGCTGTCACATTTTTGTCCCTGCAGTGAATTTACAGGAAAAAAGCAACAATGAACTGCAGGTACAGAGTTGTGGATATACTTCACTGCAGCAAAGAATGGAAGCTCGGTTTGAAAATCAGGCCTTTACCCTGGTATAATGGAGATAAAAAACTGGCCTCTTGTTTGCAGTCCATAAAATAAAGATATTTACAAACTTCCCGAAGTTGGAAAATGTATGAAGAGTTGTTCAGGTCAGAGCCACACAGTCATACTTCAGAAAATAGTTTATTTTACAGGACACATACTTCACCTCGATTTTTATATTTTAGCCATTTGTGTACAGACTTACTACTCTACAATTACAAAGCAACTGCATGGTTAGTTCTGGCCTGAATGCCACCTAGGCTATTGACTTCATTGGAATAAGGATCAGGCCCCAATAGCTACAGTACATAACAATTTTGCAGAGACTGGAATTTAGCTAAGAAAACCCTATGCAAGTTAGTGGGCCCAAACTTCCACCAGCCTCAAATTGGCCCAGTTCTGCAAGCCTTACTAACAAGAGTAATTCCAGTGAAGTCAATGGGACTGCTTGTGTGAGTAAAAGCTATAAGACGGGGTTCCTTATTATCAATTTTGTGTATATCATTCTCTGTCCCATAAAGACAAAACTACAATGCAAAGGAGGGTTCATTGTAAGTGTGGTTCCTCTCAGAGACAGGACTTGCAGCATCTTGGGCCTCTCAGAGTACCATGCTGTCCACCCACCTCTGACATCCACGTCTTCTCATTGCTCTGTTGCTCAGTCTTTTTCACTCCCTGGGGCTGCATTATGAAATAACGACTATCGGTTCTGTGTGTGTGTGTGCGCGCACACTCCCTTGTCCAGCTGTTTTCCCCGTGTTGTGTTTTGCGATGGTATTGTATTTTTTTTGTGGAGGGCTTCGAGGCATGAGAACCCTACGGCCCTGGCTCTGTTATGCTTGAATATTTGTGCTCCCAGCAACAGTAATTTTGTGCTCCTTTTGCTGTGGCAGGGAATGCCGGATGCTAGTGTTGTGTTTCTTGTGATGTATCAACAAGAGCAGGGTGGTCAATTTACTGAGAGAGATGAGACGATTCACTCTGGAGCCACAAGTACAAACCAATAGAGCCTGTGCAGGAAGCAGGAATTCTAACCATTGCTGTGTCGGGTAGCATGAGCTATGTGTAGTACTGTACCTTGGTGTGTGCATCCTCTTGCCTTGCTGGTCTTTAAACATGCACCCTTCAAGCAAGTGAAGCGAATGTTGGGACGAGAGAGAGAAAATGTCAACACCACAATCTCAGGTTCTTTTCCACGGCCTAGCACAAAACACAACCACACCCTACTTCACACACAATTCTCTTCCATCTGAGCACATTCAGGGGACTGCAATACTGCCGCTGGGAGCGTGCCTCCCAACCTGGGTGGACAGACCCACCCTAGCTCAGTTTGAGCTGTGCACTAAAAATAGACTTTGCAGCTCTGGCAGTAGCATGGCCTAGCAGCCCGAGTACAAGCCCGCCTGACCCTCTGGGTCCATACTTGGGTGGCTAGCCTGGATAGATCATTGTGCTTTTAAATGTGAGTTTTGTACATGCGGCACACATGCTCTTGTAATCATTTGTGTTCAGTCAAGCAAGACCACTGAAAATGTTGCCCTTTTGATTTAAACCTGCTGAAGAACACTGTCCATAATTATGCCCTGCTTTGTTCCAAGATTGACTGAGTAGGTGCATAAGAAACGTACCCCCTGATACTTATGACCAGTGTGATAGCTCATCTGGGAAGGACAGGTGCATCCAAGCCATGTGGAACATCTAAATGCTGTAATGCTTCTTGACCTGTAATGACTAGATATCAGTCCTGCGACTGCTGACAGCTAATGCAGAATCTCCTTTACTTGAAGTGTAGAGCCCAGTTTTAGATCTGAACTGCTGGGTCATAGGTCAGCAAAGAGATCCTGCCCATGCAGGGGACACCTTCTTGCTTTTTTCGCCAGGAGTCTGGATGTGTCACAGAAGTGGTCACCTGAGAGAAGATGGTGGGGGAAGGTGCAGCTTGTTTTGATGCTCTGTCCTCCTTAGTTGCTAACTGTGCACTGATATTCCGATGTTAGGAACTGCCCTCCCCTACATGCTGTGAGTGGCACATTTGTAAGGAACCCAGACAGCTGCCATGTAGGAGGTGCTGTATATTTTGAGGAAGAGGCAGCAGTCCAGAGTGGGTGACTCTTCTTTGAATGAGCATAAATTCCTTGATGTGCTGCCTTAGGATGCCAAGAGCTGCATAAGAGTCTGGCTAGCTAGGGCTTGTCTACACTACCATCTAAGCCAAGGTAACTTACGTCGTTCAGGGTGTGACGCTCTCCTGCCAACATAGCTTCCGCCTCTTGTTGAGGTGCAGTAATTCTGTCGACAGGAGAGCGCTCACCCTGCGACATAGGGCGTCTTCACCAGACGCGCTTTGTCAGCGCAGCTGCACCATTATAGAGTGATAGTGAAGACAAGCTCTTACACCCATTCCAGGCTTGGCTAGCTAGTATCTGGGCCCATTTATTTCGGGCAAGAGTATAAATATTTTGAGACTTGTCACAGGCAGGACGGAGGGTTATCTGTGCTGATTTCATGCCCTCCGGGAAGTCATGCTGGAAGGAGCAGTTTCAGATATTGACAAGGACACATCAGGGCTGTGCAAAGAAAGTCTCAACAAGCATCTGGACCTGAGCAATGAGTCCCTGAGCAGACACTTGAGTGGATGCTGCTCTTTCCAGCCAAGTGTGGCTTTCACGGAGACGAATCCCATCTCCCGACATTTCCAGTCTGCTTCTCTCGCAGTTGAGAACTCGACTGTGAATATCAATGTAAAATATTTATAGAGCCATCCGCAGATCCCCAAAGGTTTCATGAACTCACAGTAGCACTCTTTCTGCCCTTTACATAAACGTCTCTCCTACACTTCTGCCAGCTGACATAAAGGTGGGCAGCACAGTTAATACCTGCCGTGCCATTGCAACTCAGTCGGTTTGATGTTATTAGAAAGATAAAGCCAGAGAGGCAGAATTTTTCATGAACCAATGGATGATCAGGGTGGTAGGGTCAGTCTCTTTTTCTGTAAGTTTCAGATCACAGATGAGGAGGAAACCTCAGTTCTACCCTAAAATACAAGGTGTGTCATACATTTAGTTTGTCTTCACCAGGACTGGACATATGAAGTATGAATCAAACATTCAACCAAATTCAAAGCTGGACCGAGCATTTGTTTAAAGTTTTCAAAACTGCTGCCAGTTTCCTTGGATACTCGCAGCCTCTGGAAGTCTGTCTCCCCTCACACTGGAAGGTTCTGCCTCTTCCTCCAGGATACCCCCAATTTCTGGAGTTCTGCCCCCTGGCAACAGGAACATACTACAGTGTACTTTGAGTTCTGCCAGCCCATGTCTCTGGGGCCTGCACGGCACCTCTAACAAAGTAGGACCAACTGCTAAACAACATGCTGTAAACACCTGCCTTGCCAAGCGCAACAGTACTGTATAGGAACACTGGCCACTGCTCAACTTCGGAGAGTTTAGAGATACAAGAACGCAGACGAAATTTCTCTCTCTCTCTCTCTCACTGTCTTGCTATCTCTCTCTCCTGCACCTACCTTTGGGCACTTTGAAAAGTGGCCTTAGAGGTCCAATCCCTGTTCATTCTCCCCAAGCCGCCCAGTGTTTGCAAACCCCGACACGAAGCTCAGGTTGGTTGACAGTAGGTGGGTGGGGAAGTTCCCGCCACAGGAAGTTGTGATGTTGTCTCTGCCTGAATGTCATTGTCTCTCATTTTCTCACTTTAGACTCATTCCGCCTCTGAACCAGCTGGAACTCCTCAGGAACCTGAAGAGCAAATCGGGACTGACTTTCAGGTTAGCAACAGAGCTGGGAGAGCTCAGAAAACACCCAGCTGGCAAACCAATTTCCTTCCTTCCTTCCTTCCCTCCTTCCTTCCTTCCTTCCTTCCTTCCATGGTATGTGCACAGCCCTGGAGAATTCTGTGTACCTGGATGCTGCCATATAATGGGTTATGTGGTGCCTTGGCTCCCATCCCTCTCCCCAGGTGATGCTCGTAAATTCCTTTCCTAGATCCTTTCCTACATCATCTTCTATTAAACATTCTCTGGGTGTGCAGTTGACAACAGAAAGAAATATGTCACGAGGTAAAGCCTGGAGTTGATTCCTGGAGTTGATGTAGATAAGAGATACAGGGCCTGATTCTCCTCTCACATACACCGGGATAACCCCATGACTTGGGGGTCGTTACACCCGATTTTCACTGGTGTGAGAGGAGTGTCAAGCCCAGCCTGGGGTCAGTCCTTACTTAGCATGCTGCTCTTTCTGCAGCCCACTAAATCCCCCACCTCCGCTGCTCCCCCAGAACCGATAAGGTTGAATTAGTAATCCAGAAATGGAAGGGTCTGTCTTCCCCCAGCCACAAAGCTTGGACGCTATTTGGAGATTTCTTTTTCTTTCCTTAACTAGCCAGGTGAAAAACACTGGCCAATGGATATTAATCAATGTAAATCAGAAGCATCCAACTCATTTTTGATAGGCCCTCTATGATAAATTAGAAATGACCACACCTGGAAGGACTGTCCCGCTGCAATTTATATCTTCAGAGTGAGTTTTGGGGGGGGTCCCCTTGTCATTCTTTTTTTAAACTAACAAGGCGCCCTACCCCAGTGGACTGTGAACCCCTACGGAGGAGTCGTCCCTGGAAGGTGCAGTACTGCACTTAATAATAGTGGTTCCCGCTTTGGCTACCTGGCCAGACTGAGCAAAGTGCTGAAGGGGGTTGGGGCTTTTCAAGACCTCTGGAGTTATCTCATGTTTCAGAAAATTTGCTAAAGCCTCAGGAGTTTAACACGCCTGACTAAAGGTCTTTACAATTTGTATATTTAATCCCAGGATTGGGCCTGGCTCCTGGCTTGTTTGTAAATGGCATCTGTGTTATGTTCCCCCAGGCCGTGTATCATGGCTGCTCTCCTTCTGCTCAGGGGAATTTAGATGGGACTCTCTTCAGAGCTCATCAAGACCACTTTTTAACTACCTAAAATGGTCACTGCTGAGTAGAGCCAGGCCCAGGAGATCTGCATTTGTATTTCCACTAGAGTTTTAGGAAATCTGTCCCTGGATTTGCCTCTGAACTTCCCCAGAGAAATCTGGTGTTCTGGCTCAGGCAAATCCCTACTCACTGGGGGATGTCGTGTCGCTCCCTCTCTCCCAAGGACTAAGTGAACTGCCTCTGCAGCATTCTCAATCCCTGCCAGCATGGAGAATGGGAGATGGGGACCAGAAATCAAATGAAGCTCTCCTGGGTGGAAATGCAAAGAACAGCCACTAGGCCGCCAGGCCATTCTTCGTTATTTTTTTGTTGGGAGAGAGAAATTCCTGAATCGCATATGAACCCTGGGTGAGTTTTTCAGCCTGGCCTTAACTTGGCCTCTGGTTTTGTGCCTGAAACTGTAGAGATGCCATTTAGTTCAATTTATCCTCTCTGCCCTTGATTTACTGGGGCAATCGGGTATTTAGACATCTCAATGACATGCAGCAACTGCATCCCCAAATTGCCAGAGTTTGAAAACATGGCTCCTCTCTCTTTCTCTCTCTCTCTCTCTCTCTCTCAACAAGCAGGTGCCAAAGATAATTTTTCATGTGGAGCCTTCAGCCACAGCTGAGGCTCCTGCAGGAGCTGGAAAAAGAGTGATGTGCACCTTCCAGCCAACCTCGCCCCCCAAACTTCTGCACTACTCACCCACTGCATGGGGCAGATGCATCGATGAAACAACATCTCCTAGAGTTAGTGTAACAGACCCGCATGAGCCAGGGTGTCCTGCAGAACAGACTTGCCTTAATTTTACAGAAAAATAAATTAACACAACTCAAAATGGCCACCTGGACATTAAAGATCATGACATAAAAAAAACCATCCCTTTGCTGAGCCAGGCAAAATGGTGTGAGAGCGAGGTCCCTGATAGGCCAGGTTTCTTAAGTTTAAGAGAGGGAGAGCCTGCCTTCCCTGTCACAGCTTCATCCAGCACTGGTCCTTGAAAGAAGCAGCCAATTCTTTTTATCTTTCTTGCTGAGCCCTGATTGGCTTCTGCCTGCTCCCAGCCCTTCTAGTTGCAGGAAGACCAAATCTCATTGGTTCCACCGTCAGCTGATCCTGGGAGATCTCTGTAGATAATTCCTGGAGGTCCAAACTCAGTTTTTGTCATTTCCAAAAGGACCACTTCGTAGAGAGGGGTGTGCAAAGGTTGGGCGGGGCCTCTGGTAGGGGCAGCAAATGCCGGCTACACCCCATCACAGTCAGTTCTATGCCTAAGAGCTGAAAGGAAAGTTTATGAAAGGTCTGTGAAAGTCCTGGGGAGTTGTTCAGAAACAAACTCAGGGGGCCAAATTTTCAAAGGAGCATGACCATTCACTGTCCCGCATTTGCTCATGCGCGTGGTGTAACCGCGGGGCTCCATAGTGAACTCTGTGCACAAAGAGGTGGGTTTTGCGACTTTTCGACCCTGTACGTCTCGTGTGTCTCCTCCCAAGGTGGTGTGAGTCGGCGGCTATCTTCTCTCCAGTCCGGAAGCCCCAGGAGTAAGTGCTCCATGCCCTCCCTTCTATCCACCTCACTTAGTTGTACTGTTTGGTACTGTCCTTTCGTTATGTTTTAACAGTGAATGCAGCAGCTTCCTTCCCACCTGACACCACTGATCATGTACTATTGCTTCTGTTTAAAGGAAAGAGCAACAGCCTGAGCCATCACCCAGGTCTGTATCACTGCCCACATGCCATTTCCATGCTTTCCATGTCCGTGAGAGTGCGTGCACTATGTATGCCTGTACCAACAAGGAGCTGAGCGCCATTAAAACCAGCCTAGCGGGTTGTACGTGCTTGTTCTGTGCTGTGGGACATGTCTCTGTGTGTCATACATATATGTAATGCTGGGCCTTCAATCAGATTTTCCTTCTTCGCAGTATACCTTGACTGTATTTTGTAGCTATATGGATAGTGTTTATGGGGGTTGTGCTGGCAGCAGATGAAGTTTGAGGTGTGTCAAATTTGCCCTCAGAAATGTATTGTCACAGGCTGATGTCTTCTGAGTTTTTGGCAAATGAGTGTCCAGGATACATGGGAAAAGGGGACTGTTTTATGCCTCTCTTTCCTCCGCCTGTTTCCAGAATCCGGGAGCTGAAATAACAACGCAGACCCAATTTTAACACTTCATGTTCTGTTCCCCTGCCACCGCATGTCCCATGACTGAACCTAACCCTGGCTTCTTTCAGTCCCTGTACCAAAAAACCAAAGCACGTTCAGCCAGACACCCTCAGAACTCTCCCAGGCCATGGAGTTAGGAGAAAAGTAGCATTGCCTACGTCCACTGGCCCTCCATGCCGTGCAATCGCTTTGTACATCAACAGCTCCAAATACCTCCCAGCACTCCCCTGGCTACCCCTTCTTGCCAGAACCCATTGTGCAATAACTGATTATATTCTATGGACTCAATCCCATAGTCTTTACTCATTGACTTCAGGTGGAGTTTTGCATGAATAAGGAAAGCTTCGAGATTTGGCCCAATATAATTAAAGAGCACGGGCATAATATTTTATACCTGTTTCAAACCATCACTGCAAGATACAGAGGATGCCATTAGCATGATTGGCAGCAGGTAGTGGAACTGAGGAATCACCTAAAGTAAGGTACGCCTCATTGGATCACAGATCTCTCTGCCTTAGAGCTCACTGAATAATGTATGCAACCGATGTTTTTGCATGCTAGCGGTCAACTAGAGCTGCTGGAAAGTTTTAGCTTAAACAGATTTTCCAGTGAAAAACGGGCGAGAGGGAAATGCTGATGACAATTTTGGAGACAAATGTTCCTCATTTTTCATCCAGCTCAGCCTAGTTAATTGCATTTCCGTATCCTACCAGTTCTACTTGGAAGTCATTTCAGGTTGAATTTCAAACTGAATGTTTTTAACCCTCCACCCCACCCAACTTAGTTGGTGACCTAAATATGTTAAGAAGGAAATACTGTTGGATCTAAACACTTCTTGCAGTTCACGAACATTATAAATATAGCAAGACAGTTGTTAGACACCCAGAACTGTCTAAGGATGGTGTTCCTGTATTGGCTGTAAAGGTCTGCTGCACCTTTCAATCTAAGGGGCTAGAAACAAATTAACTTTTCCCTGGCACAAAATCCAGTAAAAGATATTTAAGTAGATAAGGTGCCAACTAAGAGGATTAAGTGCCCAGCTTTACTATTATTTCCACTTTATCTCCTTCCTGTCACTCATCTGAGCTTTTCTGTGCATGTAGGATCTCCAAAGTGCTCCATCCACAAGCTGCCAAATAAATCTAATCACCAACATCACGTTTTCACAGTTCAGACCTTATTTCCTCCTGCTTTGAGGCCTAACCTTGTGCAGTGAGAAGGAATGTAACCTCCCGTCCTCCAGTCCACTTCAAATATCATCAGCAGCGGCGGCTCCAGGCACCAGTGCTCCAAGTGCGTGCCTGGGGCGGCAAGCCGCGGGGGGCGCCCTGCCGGTCCCTGCGAGGGCGGCAGTCAGGCAGCCTTCAGCAGCATGCCTGCGGGAGGTCCGCCGGTCCCGCGGATTTGGTGGCAGGTACACCGAATCCACGGGACCAGGGACCTCCCGCAGGCAAGCCGCCGAACGCTGCCTGACTGCCGTGCTTAGGGCGGCAAAAAAGCTAGAGCCGCCCCTGATCATCAGCAAGGAAAACAACACAGGAGTGTTTTCCTGGAAGAGACCAAGCATGAAATCTTGGCCCCAGTGCCAGTGAGTCCAGCGGAGCCAGGATGTCAGCCCAAGAATCTGGC